GGGCAGCGAGAGGAACGCCTCCGGCGCGGGCTCCGCGCTGCCCGGCGCTGAGGGGGCCGCCCCCGGCAGCTGGAGGCAGAAGTGCGCGGCCTATGTGCTGGCGCTCAGGCCCTGGAGCTTCAGCGCCTCCCTCACCCCCGTGGCCCTCGGCAGCGCCCTGGCCTACCGGGCCCAGGGAGCCCTGGACCCGGGGCTGCTGCTGGGAAGTGCCGTGACCGTCCTGGCTGTGCACGGAGCCGGCAACTTGGTGAATACCTACTACGACTTCTCCAAAGGCATCGATCACAAGAAGAGTGATGACAGGACTTTGGTGGACCAGATTTTGGAGCCTCAGGACGTGGTCCGGTTTGGAGTCTTCCTTTATACTGTGGGCTGTATCTGTGCTGCTGGGCTCTACGCTGTCTCGACGCTCAAGCTGGAGCACCTGGCCCTGATTTACTTTGGAGGACTTTCCAGTTCCTTCCTTTATACTGGAGGTAAGCACGATATCCTGTTTTCTGTGAATCTGAATGTAGACATGACAGAATTGGCTGACTTGTCAAGGGTTTCTAGGAGACACGAGTTAACTGCCATAAAAATATTTGGTGGCATTTCCTGGAGTACTGATACATGAACTTGTATTCTTAGCCATTGATTGTGATGGGAAGGTGTGGAAAGAGGCAAGTTCTTCAGTTTGAAAATGGTGTTAAGACATTGTTGGTGTCATTTACTTCAGATGTTCCTCAGAACTCCTACTGGAACTTCTCCTGATGTGTATGTCATGTACCTCGGCAGTATAGCTCACTGGACAAATTGTGTTCTCTTGGTGTTAGCTGCTACCTTGTTTTGAAATGTTCAGTTGTTATTCTCTAGGTGGGAGCTTCACTGTGTGGGTAGAACAGTTTGTGTTTGTTCTTAATAAGAGAAGGATGTTTTTATTGCCTTCCTGTCTTGAATACAAATGTAACTATTAGGAAAAGAAGAGTCAAACTCAGTTTTGAACTGTCAAACTTTCAGTTTCCTTGAAACAACCTTGTCAGTTTTGTGTTTTGTTCTGAGCATTTTATGTATTTCCTCAAGACCAGGTTCTAGTATGTGTGATCACACTAGAGAGTACCTTATTTCTATAGATTTCTGCAGAAATTGGTACTTCTAGATGTGAAGTTGCATATTAGAACCTGGCCCTTAGTTTCTGGTACATCGACTGGAGAAATTCAGAAGCTGCATTTCCTTTATTATCTTTGGAAAAAGGAGCAAATATGCTGCTCAGCCACAGCTGTGTGGGCATTGATCCTTTTGCAACCTTTCTGTGGGAAGGGCTGATCTGTTACCTTATCCATTCTCTTCTGTCATTTGAGTTGTTTGATGATGCTTCATTTTATTCTTGTGTCTTGCCACAGGAATTGGATTTAAATATGTTGCACTTGGAGACGTGGTGATCCTGATCACCTTTGGGCCCCTGGCTGTCATGTTTGCCCATGCTGTGCAGGTTGGTTATCTGTCTGTCTCACCACTGCTCTACGCTGTGCCGCTCGCCCTCAGTACTGAGGCCATCCTGCACAGCAACAACACCCGGGACATGGAGTCTGACCGGCAGGCGGGTATTGTCACCCTGGCTATCCTCATCGGCCCTGCCTTCTCTTATGTTCTCTACACCCTTCTGCTCTTCTTGCCCTACCTGATTTTCTGTGTGCTGGCCACACGCTACACCATCAGCATGGCACTGCCCCTCCTCACCATCCCCATGGCTTTCTCACTGGAGAGGCAGTTCCGGAGTCAGAGCTTCAACAAAATTCCTCAGCGAACAGCCAAACTCAACCTGCTCCTGGGGCTGTTCTACGTCTTTGGTATTACACTGGCACCAGCTGGAGCTCTGCCCAAACTGTAACCGGGGCTGCAGTGGGGCCTCATCGCTCAATGTTAATGGTAATTAGCAGTGGTTGTTGTGGGTAGATGACCAGTCCTGGACAGTGGGAAGAATAGAGAGATCGGCTTGAGCTCTCGAGTGTATGTGAGTGTTGTCATTTCTCTTTCGGTTATCTTGTACAAGGGACTTAAAAAAATGATTGGCAGTTCCTCTGAAGGGGTGAACTGTGCAGCTTTGCAATGTGAGGACAAGGAAACATCTGAAGAACCTCATCCTTCTGCCATTGAATTCTTTCACTATCAGTGAAAGTAAGACTGAGCCTCAGATCCAAACTCTTTGTTCCCTTCACAAGCACAGCAGTTGCTCTTAGGACTCCTTTTCTTACCATGGTCAAGTGGCTCCTGTGTGATAAACACAAAACACTGCCGAATGTTTAGCATCACAGTGCTGTCGGTGCTGTTCCTTCGCTCCCTGGTGAGCAGAGTTCATCTGTTGAATGTTTTAATTATTTTTTTTTCCTAGCCAAATTTTGAACTTTTATTTCTAAGCCCCATGAAATGCACTAAATACTAATTCATTAAATGTTGCTTCTGCTTGGTCCTTAAAGGCTAGAAATGTCAAAGTTATGTATCTCTGTGCCATGTTGGTGCTAAAATGGAGCGCGAATAGCCCACTGCACAAACCTGAAGCCAAAACCAGTACATTTATATTCTGCCATGAAAGGTGAAGCTGTAAATGAAAATCATATAACTGAAAAGCCCTCAATGCACAGAAAAACAAATGGTTCACATTTCTGCATTTGCTTAGAATTTAATCTCTGAAATAACAGTCTTGGAGTTAAGGGGGAGCACTGGATATGGATTAATGGCTATGTGAGTGGAAGAACAAACTTTTAGTTTGAAAAAAAATACTATTTTTTTCAGTTGTCAATCTATTTAGAAGCCCTCAGTATTATAGTAAATGTCATATTGTAAGGAGACCAGTTGAGCAAAGGAGAAAGATGCAGGGTTAGAAAAAAGATTCAAGATTATTGCATTGCCTCTGCATAAAAATTAGGACTGGAAACAGGAAGAAACCATTTTTGTTGACAAGATTTTTTCTGATAGAGTCCAAAGTTTGTGTGAATGAATTACATGTAACTGTTGTTAGGTCTGAAGTTCTCCACCCTTTTTCCTCCTCTTACACCTCAAGGTGTTGATTTGTTTTCTCCTGCAGATCTTGCCACTTGATATTCTTGTGGCTATTTGGAGAGCTGATTGTTTCAGTAATTACGTAGCAGTGTGAAAAACATCCCAAACACAGCTGGGAGAAGTGTGGCTTCGGGTGCAAAGATGAATTTGATCCCTGTTGCTCAGTGGCAACTGAATTCTGTCTGTCTTGGAGAAGTATTCCTTTCCAGTGTTCAGGGTTTTGGTGGAAAAATTGTTTACAGGAGTTCTGAAAAGGAATTGGTCCAGGTGTTGAACCAGAGCTTCTGGTGCCTGGAGCACAATCTTACTTTTGAACCAAACAGTAGTGAAGGGCTTTTAAACATGAGCAATAAACTAGCCTGGTGTTACCCTGCATCTGCCATAGGTAAGTTCTGACGTTGTGCTGTTCATCTGAAAGTACTGAGTGTAAGGTTAGTGGAGTGTACTAACAGTAGTAAAGCTTACAAGACGACTTGGTATAGATAGTTAAGTGACTGTTTTTATGGCTTCATGCTGAAAGGATTCTTTGCAGGTCTATTTTATAAGCCACAGTTTCATCTTTTATTAAAATTGGGCAAATGATCTCTCTACTCTGACTAGGCACAAGATGAGATAGACATCAGCAACTATGTCCTGCTTTCTGCAGAAAAATACTTGTTTAGATTAGAAACATGAGGAGAAGGTGCAAAAGTTCAGCTCAGCTGGATGGACGGAGATATCCAGAAATTTTTGGAAACTGTTTTCAATACAGACATAAACAGCACAGGATTTAATGTTAACTTCTTTGTGGACCTACAGAATGAAGAAGAGCCTGGCTCTGAGACCCACTTCATTTTTCTGCAAGGCAAAAGCTTGTCTAGAGGTCTGAGGTGGTGAATCTGTGAGCCTTGCAGCTGGGGATATGTGGGTTTACTAGGTTAATCCCAGCATGGCTTTGTTACTACCTTTGGTAGGAGTTGTGTGTTTTATTATAGCTTGTTCTTGTATATTCATCAGTTTAAAATAATGGATAGTTATCTTTTTCTACTCCTTTTACATAAACCAGAGTACTCAAGCTAAATTCCTTAAAGTAACTAATACTTGGCTTGTATCTTTGATATCTGTAATGGTAACAGTGAAAGATCTAGGATATGTTCATTGGTGGAGTCATTTTCCATTTACTAGCAGGGAAAAGCCCCCTATGTAGGATGTCTGCTTACTGCTGGAAAGGACTAGTGTTTTTTGTTACAGAGATGAAGGAAGAGGTCATTAGTTCATATATGTGTTTGTAGAACACTTTTCAAGGTGGGGGGGATTAAAAGCATTTTAATAGTAAGAATTAGATTAAAATTTAGTAATTCGTTACTAGCAGATGCTGGTTGCCTCCAATTCCCTGTCTGTGAAAAGTATTATCATTCCATGGATATTTATATTAAGTAAGAGATACTTCACCATGACTTTGAGGAAGTAATTTAACTTCTCTGTATCTCAGAAAACAGCAATTTTTTGCCTACCTCACAGGGATGCTGAGCCAGCTTCATTGTCGGAGAGCTTTGAAAGTAAAAAGTGCTTTATCTCTGTGCTTTTAAAAAAGCTAGTTAGTGCTACAACACATTTTAGTTATGAACTAACCTATCAGGTGACTTAGCCAATGTAAGTAGACCAAAATAATCTCTACATCAATGTTGAGTGGTAAGAGACG